AAATCTCTGATCTCCTGTCCTAATACTCTCTTCCTTCCTCACGCTGCTCTAGCTACTTGGTCCTCCTTGCTGGTCCTTGAACAAGCCAGGTATACTACTTACCCAGGACCTTTGCACACTCTTCTGCATGGCTCACTTCCTCACTTCCCTCAAGTCTTTGCCCAAATATCACCTTCTCAGTGAGGCCTACCCTGACCAACCTATTTAAGATGGCTATTATTCTAATTTACAGTTTACAGTAAATGCAAGGTATAGAGGAATGCGATCAATGACACCATGCAGGACAAAAAGCAGACAAGTCTGGAATGTAGGCTACTCTACAAAACAACCGGCTTGTCTCTTTAAAAAGCTAATGTCACTATTTAAAAAAGAAGAAGAAGAAGAGAGACTTCTAGTTCTGGATCCAGTTGGAATAGACATGCTTTTTCCTCTTCCTCCCACTAAGTATGGTGAAAAGCCTGGACATTATATATACATCAAACAGAAGAAGGCTCTGAAGGAAGGAGAAAAGGGCAGACTAAGAACCCCAGTGACCTGAACTAATGGTGGTGAGTTCCCTGGGTTTTCTTGTTGCCTCATCTATCCCACACTGAGTGCTAGAGAAGCCAGCATCCTGAAAATGCCAATGGGCACAAGAAAAACAAAAAAGCCTCAATAAAAGCCTGTTTTCTCTCACCAAAAGACCAGAAAATGGGCAGCTTAGCTAGACAGAAAACTCTTAGACAGCAACCACTCTACTGCAATAAAACACCACAGAAAAAAACTGCAGCAGAAACCACACCAGCAAGTGTCAAATAGAAACCCAGACTTTTACTCTCATCAGGCTCCCTGTACCTCCACCCCCTCTCCCTCTCCCAGGATCAGGTAAGGCTGAGTAGGGAGCCTGGACTTCCACTCCCACAGGTTAACAAGGCCTTCCCTCCCTGCTGGGTGGTGTCAGAGGAAGCCTAGGGGAGAGTCAGGATTTTTGCTGCTGCTCTTCCCCTTTCCCTCTCCAACCCACTCCTCTACCACCCTCACCCCTCAACCCACACCCCCACCTGTGGTCAGTGGAAATCACCTGGGGTGCAGGAAGGAGGCACTTCCACCCGTCCCAGCCATGGAGTTGTCAGTGGCTGCCTAGTGGGGAGATGGAACTCCCACCCTTCCCAGCAATAAGGAGAAGCACCCCCACCTCAGATATCAACCAAAGCTGAAAGGGGAACTTGAACTTCTACTGGCAATAATCAGGCAGTAGCCCCTTCCACTGATAGCAATGGTGTCAAAAGAAGCCTACCCAAACCAAAAGATTTAATGAAGATCTAGAGTCTCATAATATCCAAAAAGGCCTAGGATGCTATAAAAAATTATTCATCGTACCAGGAACCAGGAGACCCTCAACTTGAATGAGAAATAATCAACAGCTGCCAACACCAACATGACAGAGCTTTCAATGATCTGACAAGGTTTCTAGAGCAGCCAAAAAAAAAATGCTTCCACAAGCAATTACAAACAAGGTTGAAATAAATGAGAAAAAAAATAGAAAGTCTCAGCAAAGATATAATGAAGAATCAAATACAAATTTTAGTACAGAAAAATACACTAACCAAACTAAAACACTCAGTGAGTGGCTCATAAGCAGGATAGAGAGGACAGTGAACTTGAAAACAGAACATTAGAAATTACCCAATGTGAAAAACAGTGGGAAAACAGACTTAAAAAAAAGAAAAACAGAGCCTCAGAGATATGTGGGACTGTAACAAAAGGCCTAACATTTGTGATCTCAGAGTACCAGAAGAGAAAGAGGGAAGGGCTGAAAAAATCCTCAAGAAATAATGGCTGGAAATTTCCCAAATTTAGCGAAAGACATAAACATACAGATTTAAGAAGCTGAACAAAGCCCAAACAGGATAAACTCAAAGAAATCCATGCCAAGACACATCATAATCAAATTTTTGAAAATCTTGAAAGCAACAAAGGAGAAATAACACCTTAGTTATAGGGGAAAAACAATTCAAATTCAGTGGATTGTTCATCAGAAACCATGGAGTCTGGAAGGCTTCTGATATATGAATATATGCACAACATATTTCAAGTGTTGCAAGCAGAAACACCCTCAAAGAATGCTTAAAGGCAGTTCTCAAAATAGAAAGGAAATGAAAAAAGAAGAAATCTTGGAACATCAGGAAGAAAGAATAGAATGAGTAAAAATGTAAGTACATACAATTAGACATTCCTTCTCTTGAGAAGGAAATTATGTTTGATGGTTGAAGCAATAAGTATAATATCATCTAGAGGAAATATTTAAGACAGCTGTGCAATACTTAACCATAAATGGGTCAGGGTGATGGGAACTTGAAGGGAGGTACGGTGCCTACATTTCCCTCAACCTGATAAAATGATGACATAAGTAAATCTTCTTGGTGACCAAACAGTTGTGTATCTTGATTGCAGTCGTTACAGGAATCTTCACATGTGGTAAAATGGCACAGAACTATGCACACACTGTACCAATGTCAACCTCCTGGTTTTGATATTGTACCATAATTATATAAGATGTAATCATTGAGGGAAAGTGGGTGAAGGGCACATGGGCTCTTTGTGTACTAGTATGCAACTTCCTTGCAAATCTATAATTATTTCAAAAAAATTTTTTTAAATTTTGTTGTAGATTAAAAGTGGCTAAAGATGCAAACTCAGTACAAGTACCTTGATTAGATTCTGATGTTAAAAATTATAAGAGGCAAGTCTGAGGAAATTTGAATATAGATTGGACATTAGATGGTACTAGATGACATAAAATTCTTAATTTCCTTAGATGTCATAATCATATTGTGGTTATGCAGAAGATTGTATTCCTACTAAATGTATGCTGAAGGATTCAGTGGAGAAGTGTATGGAAAAATTACATCCAAAGGGTTCAGGAAAAAGTGTAAAGAGATAGATGGATAGAGCAAATATAACCAAATATTACTAGCTGTTGACTCTCTGAGGAAGGTATATAGGTGCTCATTGTACTAGTTTTTCAACATTTCTGTATGCTTGCAAATTTTCATTTTTAAAAAGTTGGAGAGGTTATGTGGAGGATAGATATGTGATACTAAAGCAAGTATAGCAGATGAGAATGAGAATCTAGGTGGCAGTTGGGTTTTGTTCCTTGTAAAATTCTCTCAATTTTTCTGTATGTTTGAATATTTTCATATTAAAATGTGAGTTAAAAAACTAACAATGATCACAACAACCTGGTGTCCTCCCTGGCACTCCCAATTCCCCTTTCTCTGCTCTTTTTCTTTCTGTCCACAGCACTCATCACCACACATAATACATAATTCACTTACATGTTGTTGTGCTAATTTTTGTTTGTGTCCGCTCACTAGAATATAATCTTCCAGGGCAGGGATTTGTTGTGTTTGTTGTTTCCTGCTACATCCCCAAATCCTCAAAATGTCTAGCACATAGCAGATGCTCGATGAGTATTTATTGGATTAAGAATGAATTTTTGTATCCCTAGGACCTACGTCAAGCTCTTGCACAGAGTAGGCATGCAATGACTGTTTGTTGGATTGAACTGAGATTTAAGTTCTGCAGAAGGACTTAGAATAGACCTGTTGTACTAGAGTGGTTCAGAGCATGGACTCTGGAGTCCAATGGCCAGGATTTGCATCCTGATTCTGTCACTGCCGGCTGTGTTACCTGGCTGTATCAACATCTCAGCTTCTATTTCTCATTGATAAAATTAAGATTAATAATAGTATCACCTTGGTAGGGTTTTTGTTTGCATGTAAAGCACTTAGGACTTTGTAACGACTCAATGATTGGTAGCTAGTGACAAAACAACAGCAAAAAGGTCAAATTTTCATGGCATATCATCCTCCCTCCATCCCCCAACAGTCTGCTCCAGGAGAGGCTAAGGAGATGTCCTTGGATAAGTATTCCCAAGTTCTCTAGACCCCCAGAATGGTTTCTCTCACTTCAGATCTCTTCTTACCTTTCCTCTGCCCTGGACACCTTTTCCCCTCCGTGTCCTGAAGCTCTTGCCCCCATCATAACCAAGCAGGAGTGGAGTGAAGGAGATAGAAGTCTGTGGGCCAGGGACCAGAGCTTAGAGCTTCCTTTTCCTCCTGTTCTAGGACTGAGTCCCCCTCTAGTGATGGAAGCAGGTCAAGTGTGACGTTGGGCGGTTGGCCTAGAGGTTGAGAGAACAATAGTCCGGAGAAGGAGACACTGACAGGAGAATGGCAGCATATGCTGCCCTCTTCCTCAATACCATGTTAGGAGAGAGCACCTCCGCAGCCCTGCTCCAACGTCCCTTCCGTTTTGCTGCCTCAAGTCTCTACTTGTGGTGGCCCCAGCTCAGAGCAAGCTGGGGGACCCATTGAGCAGCTCCCTGCAACTCCCTCTTGGAAGTGGAGTGGAGTGGAGTGGGCAGAAGACTGGCTGAAACTGGGAATATGGGGCCACAAGGCTGGAGGGCTGAGCTCACCCGTGGCGCAAGTGCCCTGCCCCCACCCTAAGGTCGGCGGTACCCCAGCTATCAGGGGAGCTGGGGATGAACCGAAGGGCACTACCTCCTCTGTTCCTTTAAGCAGCCGCTGTTTAGCATTCCTGCCGCTGCTGCTGCCGCTGCCTGACTCTACACGCTGATTGGCTGGAATCAACTGAAAAGGGAGCCAGGGAGAGATGCTCCTGACTCCACTCAGATCCATCCTGGGGACCAGTGCAGGAGCAGTCCTCGCAGCACCCAGGCTCTGTCCAGGCACCCGCTTCTTCTTTGCCGCTGGGCCTCGGCCCAGGAGCCACGACGGGCGACACGGAGCCGCCTGTACTGGAGGGGGAGCCTTGGGTGCGGGGCAGCGTGGGGGCAGAGGCCCCGGGACGCCCGCCCGGCCCCAGGCCCCGCTCGGCTCGGGCGCCCCCACGGGTGCCCCCCCCTTCCTGGTCCGAGCAGTGTGAGTGCGCCCGGGAGCCCGGCGGCGGCGGCGGCGGCAGCAGCAGCGTGGAAACCAGCGTGGGGTGGGGGGTCCGGGCGGCGGGGGGCAGTGCCATGCACAAGCACCAGCACTGCTGTAAGTGCCCCGAGTGCTATGAGGTGACCCGCCTGGCCGCCCTGCGACGCCTCGAGCCTCCTGGCTATGGGGACTGGCAGGTGCCCGATCCCTATGGGCCAGGTGGGGGCAATGGAGCCAGCGCGGGTTATGGGGGCTATAGCTCCCAGACCCTGCCTTCGCAGGCAGGGGCTACCCCCACTCCCCGCACCAAGGCCAAGCTTATTCCCACTGGCCGGGATGTGGGGCCAGTGCCCCCTAAGCCAGTCCCAGGCAAGAACACCCCCAAACTCAATGGGAGCGGCCCCAGCTGGTGGCCAGAGTGCACCTGTACCAACCGGGACTGGTATGAGCAGGTATGGACCAGCGGAGGGGGGCGGTGGGGTAATCCACGGGGACTGGAGAGGGGGGCTAGAGGCCTGGGGTGCAGCAGGGGTTCCTGGGGCTCCACACCAGAGGACCCTGAGCTGAGCCTTGAAGGTGGGCCAAGAGAGGTGGTTGCAAGTGTGTGCTTCCCTGTGTGTTTCTGTTTGGGGGTCTCCATTTTGGGGGGATTTGGAGGAGCTGGTATGTGTCAGGAGGTGAAGGTATGGTGGAGGGGCACATTTTCCGTGTGGGAGAGTTGGATTTGTCTTAGTGCGGGGGTTTAGCAGGGTCTCTGTGTCTGGCAGGGGGCGGGAGGTTCTGTGGGGTCTGTGTGTAGTGTCTCCACAGAAGGGGAGGAGGGGGCATGGTGCTCTGCGTAGGGGGACGTGTGTGTGTGTGTGTGTGTGTGTGTGAAGGTGTGTGGAGGAAGGCAATGGAGCTCTTATGAATCTGTGTAGAGGAGCCCATGTGCCCAGCTCACTGAGGTTTATCCCTCCATGCCAGGAGTCCCTATCCATCCCTATCCCTTTGTGTGTGAATGTGCACATGGACGTGTGGGACTGTCTCTCTGAATGTGGATGTGTCTCTGTAGATGAGGCTTCAGGGATAGCTGTTTGCCTGTATGTGTGTGGTTACATGCAAATGTGTGTGAGCATGTAGCTGCAAGTGTGTGCATGCATGTGCCTGTGTGTGTGTGTGTGTGTGTGTGTGTGGTGGACCTGGTGAGAGGCGCTTGACAGGCAAGGGAGGGGAGGCGGAGGAGACAAGAGACACATCCCAAGCAAGGCTGAGAGGCTGCCGAGAAGGACGGACTCTTTTGTCCAAGCAGCTCTTAAGTGTGTGTGTGTGTGTGCTGGGGGGGACAGGAATGGGGGCCCTGAAACAAGCTTCCTGGCTCCAGAGGAGGCATGGTGCCTGGAGCCAGGCAAGGGGCGGCTGCCCTGATACAGGGACTGGCCCCAGTGGGGCATGTCCCCTTGGGTACCCCCAGTTGTGGGAGAACTTGGCCCCCCAGCCCTGAGTTGGCATAGCTTGGGAACGCCTGGGTGCGAGGCACAACTCCGGCTTCCACTCGCAGCCTAAACTGCCGGCTTAGAAAATGGAAGGAGCATCTGTGGGAGAAGCAGCAAAATGGAGGCTGGGCCAGCAGAGCCAGGTCCCTGGCATGCATGGTGGAGGGCCTGTCTGGTTATTCGGCTCTGCAGCCCCCAGGGTAGGGAGAGAGGAGAAGAAGGCTTTGCTGTGGAGGGTGAGTGTCAATTGCCCCAAGCTGGTGACAGTTCTGGCTGCCTCTGCCCTCCTCTGGAGATAGGATGTGCTCTCACTCAGAAGCAAAGATGGGGATTTCCTGGGGAGAGGAGTTCTCCATTCTGGCCTTCTGTGTCTCCACACTTAACTGTTTCCTGTGTCCCATGCCTTGGCCCCTTGCCCTCTCCAGTGAGTGCCCCTCTCTCCTTTTCCCCTCTATCCTGGGGTTGTACTCTTGCAAACACTCCCTCATACTTGTCCTGTTCAACTGGCAGATAGGTGCCCATCCCAAGGGTCAGCTAGTCAAGGTTTCTTTGCCAGGGATGATCCCTGGGTGGCTCCTGGCCCTGGGAGCAGGGCCCTTAAGGGGGACAGTGGAAGAATGGAGGGTGGAACAGTGGGAGCCAGGAGCCTGTGGGTCTCCTGGAACTGAGCCTGAAACATGGCTTATCACATGTGGGGGACGGGGAATGAGTGGCCAAAATATCAGGGGCCAGATGCATACAAGAGCTACATGGGTGTCCTTTTGCTTAGGTGTCTGTTGCATGGAACTTCAAGCAGCTGTGTTAGTTTCAGGGCTCTAAAAAGCCCTAGGTTCTTCCTCTGGAGATCAGGGACCAGAGCGGGGCTGCAGCTGGCATCCTCCCACCAACTCCTAGGGCTGCAGGGCAATCAAGTCCTGGGGCCAGAAAAGGTGGAGGCATGACTAGACAGCTCTCCTCCCTTCCCACCTCTCTACTTGAAGCCAAAGCTGTGTGGGGTGGAAGCAGGAGGAAGGAGCAGACCAGGGCATGTGCAAGAGCCCCCATCAAGGGTTTCCAGCTCCTCTCTTCAGAGGAGGAGACCAGGGATCAGGAAAGAGGCAATGCAGCCAGAGAAAGATGGGGGAGGTGTGCTGGGATACCCGGGGAGAGAGGCAAGAAGGTGCCTCCATTCTTGGGGATGAGAGAGGGAGCCAAGGAGCAGGGGCTACTTGTCTGTCCAGAATCACATTTTCATTTGACAATGTCTACAAGCCTGTCCTGTCTGGGAGGCCACCTCCATGAGTTGGTGAGAACAACCTTGCATTTCCAATCCCCTTTCTTTGCCTCTCTTCCCATGGCTACTGCATGTTGAAGGCCATGGACTCACCTGCCAATTAGTCCCTGGCTCATCAGCTTCCCCTCTTGGGGATTCTTGTCCACTCTGCTCCTGTTCCACCCATGGCTTTGCCTCTGATTCCAACTGGTTCCTACCCTGGTCTTTCTGTTGGGAAACATGAAGGGTTCAGGACCAAAAGTCCCTTGGTAAACAGTGTACTAGGACTTTGACTCTTTCTGCTCATTTGAGGAATTAGGTTCCTGGGGACTCAGGAGATGTAGAATGAGGGGTCATGAGGTGTTCTGGAGGTGGCAACTTTCCTTTTTCCTGTAAGCTTGGCGGGGGAGGTGGATAAGTGGCCAAAATATCAGAGGCCATGCCAGCTTGCTTTCATCAAAAGAGCACCTGGAGATCCAGGTTCTAGGCCCTGATCTGCCACCAGCTCCCAGTGTGTGCCCCTAGGCACAATCTGTCCCCTCTTTGGGCCTCAGTGTCACCATCTGTCACATGAAGGAAGTTAGACAAGATGGTGTCTACTGTCCTTCTGACTCTGACATGGTGAGAGCCTATGATTCCCCAAACCTGGGAGATCTGTGATTCAGAAGGGAAGAACTTTACTGTCCTGGCTCCCCATGGAAGCAGGGTGTGGTGGTTGGCCTGCCATGTTCCATTTCTGCCATCTGCCTCAGGCCAACCCTACACCTCTCCTCAGGGACTGTGAGGCCCTGGGGCCCAGCCTCTTGTGAGTGCACCCATGGCTGGCTCAGCCCCAGACAATTGATCTGGACTAGCGAGTAGCTGGGTTTGGCCTGAAATGGCTGGAAGCAAGGGGAGAGGGTGGCCTCCTTTGGATCAGCCTGTTCCCATCTGTGGCTGAGAGGTGTCCTGTGTTGATGCAGGCTCCCCTCCTCTTTGCGGAATTGGGGAGGAACAGGCTGACCATGGGGCAAGTGGGTGGGAGGGCAGGAGGCACTCAGGGAGCTGCCTGTTTTCCTCTAGGTGAATGGCAGTGATGGCATATTCAAGTATGAGGAGATAGTCCTTGAGCGGGTGAGTCTGTCAGTGGGACAGGGTGAAAGGGGAAGGGTGGGTTTGGGCCTGGAAAAGAGTAGGTCCTGAACCTCCATCTCCAGACTTATGGGGGAACCTGCATTGAGAGGATGCAAAACAGCAGCACTCAGAGGCCACATCGCTGTATCAATCAAACGACTAATAAATATTAATTGACGTTGCTCACTGAGGCCTGGAGGACTAGAAAGGGGCCGGCTTTGCTGAGGCTTCTATACCAGAATGGTCAGCCAAGGCTGGGAAGTGGTCTCCTGGCATGCCATGGCCTCTTCTGAGGCCTGGAGAACTTGCTGGGGGGTAGGGGTAAGTGGGGTACCAGCAGCCCTCCCTGGTGCTGAGTGAGCAGACTGTGCCCCTCCCCCCACTTCTGCAGGGCAATTCCGGCCTGGGCTTCAGCATTGCAGGTGGCATCGACAACCCCCATGTCCCTGATGACCCTGGCATCTTTATTACCAAGATCATCCCTGGTGGAGCAGCTGCCATGGATGGGAGGCTGGGGTGAGGTGGCCTGGAAGCAGGGCTGGGGTGGCAGGGCAGGATGGAGACAAGAGAAGGAGGGCTACCTGGCAGGATGACCCTTCCATTTGATCTGAGTGGGGGGAGGGACAGAGGAGGAGGGACAAGGAGCAGGAGCAGGTGGGAAAGGGGTTGGGAGATGTGGGAGAGGGGCACGGTGTCATGGCCCTTGGGCTTCCCCCGCAGGGTGAATGACTGTGTGCTGCGGGTGAATGAGGTGGACGTGTCGGAAGTGGTGCATAGCCGGGCCGTGGAGGCACTGAAGGAGGCAGGCCCTGTGGTGCGGTTGGTGGTGCGGAGGCGACAGCCCCCACCTGAGACCATCATGGAGGTCAACCTGCTCAAAGGGCCCAAAGGTGTGGGTTCATGGGTTCTTGTTCTCTGACTCAAAGACCCTGGCTGGCCCTGTAGGAGATGGGATGGAATAGCCTTCCCATTTGCCTGACTCCCCATGCCAGCCCACACAGCCTTGTCTCTTGACCTCACATCTCATCCTTACTAACCTTGGGATGGCAGCCTAGGGTCGGAATCCCTGGGGGAGTGCCATGGGGCCAGTGGGTTGGCCGTGGTGGGGGCTGGGGTTGGGACTGACTGAGCACTCTAACTTCTCTTTGTGGCCCTGTCCCACTACCTGCTGACTCCCGCCCAGGTCTGGGTTTCAGCATTGCTGGGGGGATTGGCAACCAGCACATCCCAGGAGACAACAGCATCTACATCACCAAGATCATTGAGGGGGGTGCTGCTCAGAAGGATGGACGCTTACAGATCGGGGACCGGCTGCTGGCGGTGAGTGAGACAGCCTTTATGGGGAAGCCCAAATGGTAGAATGGGGGTGGTGTCTAGCTGCCTCTCACCCCATCTGAACCTCACTCAGGGACTAGCACTGTGGGGAATTTCAAGAGCATCACCCAAGGTGTGTGAACCCAGATACCGAGGTCCTAGTTCCTTTCACAGCTGGGACTCTCTCACTGGCCCCACCCCTCTCTCATGCTCCTCTACTTGTCCCAGCATTATACTCGAGCCTCTGTTAGAGCTCTGTTGAATTTCACTGAAAGGGCACTCCTCAGGGTTCCCTGGAGAGGCCTTCCTTCTCTGAAGTGCTAGCCCTAAGGCCTCTCCTCTTCTAGGTGAACAATACCAACCTGCAGGATGTGAGGCATGAGGAAGCTGTGGCCTCACTGAAGAACACATCAGATATGGTCTATCTGAAGGTGGCCAAGCCAGGCAGCCTCCACCTCAACGACATGTATGCACCCCCTGACTACACCAGCAGTACGTACCCATTGGCCCTGTACTTGTGCTGAAGCCCTTGGACCCTGGTTTCTGGAAGGGAAGACATTCACACTCCTTGTTAAGAGAGGGAGAGCAGAGGACTAGTGCTCAGGAAAACTGAGTCCCAATCCCAGCTCAGTCCCTTATAACTGGGTACCCTTGGATGAGTCCCCTTCACCTGTCATTAGTTTGCTCTTTGGCAAAAAGGAGCTAATGATATATGTGCTGCCTTCCTCATAGGACTGCTGCAAGGATCAAAGGAGCTCATGGATGAGAAAGGCTTGGAAAACTGTAGTAGGCTGTAGAGATGTGAGGGATTATTATTAGTCACACCTCTAGTCATGCCTTACTTTGTAGACTGCCTTGACTTCAGCTCTTTCTAAGACTCACAGGAGTTAGCCCAGGATTCAGAAAGGAACTGTGGAGGATGACCCTGGGGTGGCAGTAGAAGAGGCCTGAGGATCAGAAAGGAACTGTGGAGGATGACCCTGGGGTGGCAGTAGAAGAGGCCTGAGGAACAGCAGCCCTTGGTCTCCTTTGCATCTGAGGGACCACTCCTTGGAGGGGAGGGGGTACCTGTGTGGAGTGGTGTCTGAATGTTTCTCTCCTTTATTGATTCCAGCTTTTACTGCCTTGGCTGACAACCACATAAGCCATAATTCCAGCCTGGGTTATCTCGGGGCCGTGGAGAGCAAGGTCAGCTACCCTGCTCCTCCTCAGGTTCCCCCTGCCCGCTACTCTCCCATCCCCAGGCACATGCTGGCTGAGGAGGACTTCACCAGGTAAGACCCCCATGCCCTTTATCCTGCCTAGTGATGGGACGGAGGGGAGTCCGTTTCTGGCTGGCTGCAGCCCTCCTTGTAATAATGGCAAAGAAGATGGTAAGGCCCTTATTGCTCCTGTCTTTGGGGTCTGAGGCCCTCTGTAGGGACCAATGGCTGCAGCGACAAGTTCTACCATCAGGGGGAGTGCCAAGTGTGTGGTCCTGATCTGAAGGTGCACCAAAAGGGTGGGGTAGAGCGGTAAGGGGGCTGAGGAGGTGGGGGCTGTGGTGTTTCCCGCCCCGAGACAGCTGCGGCCCCTCTCCTGCAATCATTCCAAATTAGAGAAGAAAGAAGTTCAGCTGGTGCGGTTGGCGGGTCGCTGGGAGGCTGGCAGGCCCGGTGGCCTCACAGGAAACAGCCCCACCCCACTCTGGCGGCGGTGGCAGTGGAACTGGTTGGGCCGGCTGGGGTTCCGGGGTACAGGTTTGCCGCGGGGTGGGGCCTGGTAGGCTACTAGGCTGGCTGCAGTGGAGCCGGAAAGGTAGGCGGACGGGGGAGAGCTGGAGGAACCATGGAGAGGGCACGCAAGTTCTCAGGCTCCAGCTTGGCCCTGGGCCTGGGCTTGGGCTCGGCCTCGGCCTGGAGGAGGGCTTCGCAGAGGTGGGCCTGGCCGCTCCGCTCCCTGAGGCCTGGAGGGGATGCCAGGTAGGTGGAGAGGAGGGCTTTGGGCAGGAGCATCCGGGACTCAGGGAGGGAGCCTGGCGCCCACGAGACTGGGAACAAGAAGGGAGGAGTCTTGGACTTGGGGCTCATCTGATGAAAGATGATGCTTAGAGTGAAGGCAGTGGGCCTGGAGAGTGAGCTGGGAGTCAGGTTGTATGGCTATACAGGAGCAAATGTTGGTCCTACCTGATGACACTGACCCTTTACAGAGGGATTCCTTAGACATGATTAGCTATAGTAGGAGTTATTGTGTGCTTGTCTCTTCTCTTCAGTTAGGCTCCTAAGCTCCTTTTGGGGACCTGCAATTTTTTTTCTCTTTCTCCCCCATCACTTAGCAAGGGATATAGTGGCAGCTAGTGATGAAATCTGTTGTTGGGGAAGGTAGGAGGGGTCCTAGTTGTTCAGTAGAATTTTGATATGGTGGGCCAGCATGTGTAGAGGAAGTATGCACATTCTGCGGATGGTGAGAGCAATCAGCCCCTTGGTGATTCCACTGCCCCTAACTAGTTCCCTTCTTGTAGCCCAGGTATTGTACTAACAACAGTTGGTAGCATAGGAGACTCTGAGGAGGAAAAGGATGGGTGAGTGGGCTCTGAGATGTAGTCTCTAGAGGTAGGGGAAAACACATTTCCATGGGGTAGGAGTTTGTTGACCTGAGAGACCAGGGGACTCTCCACTGAGAAGTTGGCTCCAAACCTGCAGGAAGAAGGGAGGGAAGAGGAACTGAAACTTGGCACCCAGCAGAAAACAGCAGCCAGGCAGGCTTCAGGAGAGAAAGCAAGCAACAGGGTACCATACCCAGGGACCCAGGTCCTTCTTACAGGGTTATGGGCCTTGTTCCAGGCTGGCCCTCACAGGGACAACAGTTTATATCAACCAAGTCCTGACCCTTCCACTCCTTTCTCACCAGAGAGCCCCGCAAGATCATCCTGCACAAGGGCTCCACAGGCCTGGGCTTCAATATCGTAGGAGGAGAGGATGGAGAAGGCATTTTTGTCTCCTTCATCCTGGCAGGAGGCCCAGCTGACCTGAGTGGGGAGCTGCGCAGGGGAGACCGGATCTTATCGGTGAGACAGCAGCGGTCTAGAAGGATGGGAGCTGTGCCAGCCTAAAAGGGAAGAGGGGAGATCTTGCCTTCTCCAGGGAATGCCTCGAGATGGAGAAAGGCTAAGAACTGGAGAAGATAGGACATTCTCTTTATAGATGTCCTCAGTAAGGGGCAGGGGCCAAGCCCAGACTTATCCTTGAAGAGGGAATGAATGTCTCTTGGATCTTAACCCTGGTTTGCATTTGACCCCCACAAAGATGGTTACTAGAGTTGTCATATCCTTTAGGTCTTGTCTTATGGGCAAGGATGGGATATTGAGAAAGGCATCCAATTGGGCTTAGGGATGGGCTAGCCATCTCCTTCTAACTGCTATGACAGAGACTCCCTTTCTTGCTTTTGGGGTGGCTCATAGCTCCTCTCTTTGGACAGGTGAATGGCGTGAATCTGAGGAATGCCACTCATGAGCAGGCTGCAGCTGCTCTGAAACGGGCTGGCCAGTCAGTCACCATTGTGGCCCAGTACAGACCTGAAGGTAGGAGAAGGAAGGTGGGACGAGATGACTTAAGGAATTGAGACTCATAGACGTGTCTCCTTTTTTCCCTCATAGGTAACAAAGACATTTGACAGGTCCCTTCTATCCTAGTGCAGTCACCTTTTCCTTTCTGTTTCCTCTGGACAGGGTAGGTTTGGGTCCCCGCTTGGAGCCTGTTGATCAGGGCTGCAGTGCAGCAGAAGACCAGTAGTGGGCAGCAGCCCAAGGGAGGAAGCAGAGAGATGGGGGTGACTGGAAAAAGGGGAGGGGGAGGAGGAAGAAGCAGAGGGCTCAAGGGGAATTGTGTGCCCTGGCACAGGAGGGCAGCTCTTGGTTAGAGGGAACTCAGGGAGTAGAGATCCGACATCTTAAGAGGGCTTGGGCTAAACTACCACACTCTCCACCTCTTCGGGGTGACTGTGAAGGACCCTTAAACGCGCTGAAAAGGTGATGCCAAGACCTCGGGGCAGGGAATGGGGAGATGGGTGGGGCCGCTTCTCCTACAGGGTCCTTTGTGTTCTCAGGGAGCAGTCCCTCGTCGGGGGCGAGCGGGCGCGCCGGTTATGCAAATTAAGGTGTTTGATTGGCTGGAGCCAGCCAAGGTCCAGGTGCCGAGGTGAGCCGCGGGGTGGCGTGCCCCCAGCCAGCCGGCCAGCGGGGTGGCCATTGGCGGGCCGAGCGCAGCCTCCAGCCGCACGCCCCGCCCCCTTACCCAGGCGGAGGGCGGCGAGCGCCCCTCCTTCCCCCGCTCGTGCGCCTCAGGCGTCTCCTCCTCCTCTCCTCCTCCCGCGCGCCCCGCTTTGTGTCCGTGGTCTCCCGCGCGGGACAGAGGGCCTGGCCGGAGCCGGCGCTTTCTCAGCACTAGACCTGGACTCCGACCCGGCGCCAGGTGAGGTGGGGCGGACAGGGGTCAGGCCCCCTCACAGTCCCCCCTAGCCTCTCTATGGTTCTGTTCTCAGACTCTTTCCAACACAGCGCCCCCAACTCTTCGGCTCACCCCCGAATGCCTTCGCTGCGTGTCCCCAGCCCCGCGCAGCTTTGGAGCCCCTCCTTAGGGTCCCTCCCGGACCCCGGGGGTGCCGCGTGGGGCTGAGCGCCCGCTCTCCGCGACTGGGCTTTGTCTGGTCTTCACCTCTCTGCCATCACCGACCCCCACCTCACGCCACGAACTGTGCCCCCCGCCGCCTTGCCCAGGGCCTCTATCCTCCCCTCAGCCTCGCTCCTGCCGGCTAGTGCGCCCCAGCAGCTCGCTAATCCCTAGCCTTAAAAGAAATTTCTAACTCTTCCCCTCTCCTGCCCCCGCACATTAATCCAAACCTGGCCAACCTGTGGGAACACCCCAGATTGGCTCGGTATTCTCAGGACCACTCCACACACACACACCCGCTTTTGTTTGCAAGGGTTTTTGTACTGTACCTGGCTTCTTTTGCCTCCATCCTCCTCTTTGCAAGCCCGGCTTTTGTCCCTTACGGTTGCAGCGCCTGGGCTCCTTGGACACCTAGACCCGGTTGGGCAGGTTACTAAGGTGGAGGAAGGCAGGTGCTCTAGTTCCGTGATGAGAAGGGGTGAGGCCGGGAGCTCTGTCGCAAAGCTGTAAGGGATTCAAAGCGCCTACCTTTGTCCTTTCCACCCTACCACCCCCCACTGTTGTTCGAGGCCTCCAGCCAAGAGCCTGAAGGGAAAGGAGAAAGGGGCCTGCCACCTTTAGGACTAGGCTTTTTTGACGGGGGCAAAAGTGTGGGGAGGTAACTGGAGAGCTTGTTGGTCTGAAGTAAATGGGAAAGGGGGATATGCAAATGGACATTTTGAGTCATTTTTCTCCATGTTTGGTGCTCACCTTAATGTCAAGAAACACACCTTAGGGTTATTGTTTTTGATATCTGCGTGTGCTGTTTGCTTTGTAGTGTAGAGCGAATCATCTGATTTTTATTAGCAACCAGTATGTATCCATTTCATATCCACAACTTAGACAATGTTGGTTCTGCAGAGAAAATGGTTTCTCTTGCGTATTTGTGTATGTGTGTGTAGGAGAAATTGATGTGTTTCCTTTGGTTTTGCTCTCTGATGTTGGGCACATGGAAACAGTGCTATGAATTTGTCTAGTAGTGTGTTGGAAACTGGTGACTACATAATTTCTCTGGGTTTTGTTGGAAGAATGTTACTGGTTTACATAAAAAGCTGCAAGTTGTCCAGGGCAAAGGGATTCCTGCGGTGTTCGTTGCTCTGAGCATATTTCGGAGAGTTTTTAATGTATGTTGAGGTGCGGTCTTAGGTTAGGTCCCACTTCTACTTGCTAAACAAAGCCGCCTCTCAGGATTTCGTTGAACCACTGTTAAGGTTCTGTTCCCCAGTGTTCTTTATTTCTTTGGTTTAGTAAATCCGACAGGGCCCCAACATGCAAAAAAGCCATTGTTTGTTTGTTATTCGAAAATGGACCCTCGAGACAGGTCCAGAGGGACTATTAAGCATTCTGTGTTGAGCTTTGAATTTTCTTTGATAAGTGATAGATTTTAAAAATAAGACTCCAGGTTGACCATATTATGAATATATTAGGAATATTGAGTCCCGTGAGTGGGCATTTACAAAATGAATAATCCAGATATGTGTTGGCTAAAATGGCAGAGATTTTGTTACTGGCCAGAGAAGTGTTCATGATTTGTATTTTTTTTCCACATGGAATGCGGGACCTGGAAAGGATCACGTAGTCCAACCCCTCATTATGCAAACCTGAAATGAACAGCGCCAGGAGAGCAAGGGCATGACTTGCCTAAGGTCATGAAGGGAAAATTGCCCGGGGTTGGGGTGGGGGTTAGCAATCCCTTTACTCCTGACATGCACAGTTGGGACATACCTTGGCCTGGGAGTACCTGAGACCTGAGACCTGGTTCGAGCAGAGGAACAATGGGAGAGGAAATAACAGAAGAGAGACTAGGGAAAGAGAATGAAGGCAAGAAAGGTATTTGTGGGGAAGATTAGAGTGATCTCCATGGTGGCTGCCAAGGCACCATTGCCAAAGGAGAGCAGCCTTTAGCTAGATAGCCTTTAGCGTGAGAGCCTAACAACATAGCTTTGACTAATTGGAATAATCAGTAAGAACAGTTTTTTTCCCTTCTTAATGGCTTACTCGAGCTATAATTCATATACCATACAATGCACCCACTTAGGTGTACAATTCAGTGACTGTTGGTGTATTCACAGAGTTGTGCGTCCATCATTACAGTCAATTTTAGAACACTTCATTACCCCTCTCCTTTTAACCCAGAGAGGGCACAAGCATTGGAAAGTTGATAGGTGGAGGATAGTTGCTTCTAATGTATCTCCCTGGGCCTTTAAGGGCTGTATGGCAGCATGGTGGAAAAGCTTTAACTGATTCTTTTTTGTATCTGGTTTGCTTAATGTGGGTTAAACTCATAATGAAGAAGACAGGAACCATGTCTGACTCTTTGAATTTTGTACTGTGCCTAGCCTGGCTGCCTTAAAGTGTGTTTATAGGAAGCTTTGGGAAATATTAAAATAGAAATAGAAGTGCTAAATGATAAGGTACAACGGTGAGAGATGCTATTTAATAGTTCCACTTCTGATTGCTCCAAACTGTTGTGGACACAGCAATCTTACCTATTAGCTAAAAATAGCATGATGTTCTTGGGCATGTGTAATACTGCTTAAAATTCAAATTGAAAATTTAAACAGCTGGCTCTTGGCAAAGGCTCTCTTCCAATTTATTCTAAAATGAAAAATATTTTTTTTGTGACTTGTGGAATTGCTTCACCAAGGGAATGATGGGCTTCATGTTACAGCATTTTGATTTAGAAACTCTTCCTTAACATTTCTCCCCCTACTTTGTGTCAACCTCTCTTCATAATCTGAGCAACTTTTCTCTGGAAAATCCTTCTGTTTTTAGAGTAGAATTTGAACCGCAAATCAGGAGGTGAGCTAGAAATTGGTTACTAAAGTAGCTAAACTGGGAACTGATCCTTTGTGACCATTTCTACTGCTGTGTAAATCCCCACAGGTGGGGCTAGGGTACAGGGAGTGAGTGAGAATGAGAGTTTTCCATACTTATTTAAACGTGCTCACCATGGAAACACTTTCAGGTAAGGCCTGGAAGAGTGAAGGATCAGTGTGATAATAATTTGAAAATATAAAAGGAATATTTTGCCCATACCATTTAGGTAACAACCCCTTCTCCCCCTGTTTGAGAACAAAGGATGTAAACAAAGCATGATCTCTCTTGAGAGCTTAGAGGGGAAGGTTTATTAAGGCAAAGAATCAAAGTCCTGAAACTTCTATAGCCATCCTAAAAGAAGGCTAACGAAGAGAAGGAAGAAAATGAATTCCTGCTAACAGCATTTCTTCACTGAACAGTTTGAAGGCAGCTAGTATTGTATGTATCTTTGTGTTCCCAGTACCAAGTCCAGAGCCTGGCACATGGCTTCTTGAACTGAATTGTTGAGCACCTCTGTGTTCCAGATGGCTTTGTAAGCAATCTTTAGGATATCCCTGTGGGATAGGTGGTATTATCCCCATTTTACAGTTGAGGAAAGTGAGGGTCAGAGAGATTGAGTGATTTGCTCAAGGTCACACAGGCCTTAAGGGGCAGAATCAGAGTTTGAAGTCAGATTTCCTGAGACCTTGGATCCAGGGCTTTTGCCACTAGGCCTCAACTACCCCCCACCACAGCAGAGAAGCTGTGAGCCCCCTCTTCCTACCCAGATACATCTGGACCCAGCAAAAGATATTGCTGCTCTGAGTCTCTTCGGGGGCAAGAAGCTGTTAAAAAATGGAGTAAAACCAACTCACAAATGTCAACTTTTTAGTTGTGATGGACACAAACTCCTGCACCAAAGGAGGAAATAACCTGGGTGTAGGGGGGCTTCTGGTAGCCTGAGGGAGATACCCCAGTCCTGCAAAAGGAAAATGGGCTTTGGAAGACTACCACAAAATGATGTTGTGGGGGGAACCCCAGGAGGAGCCAAAAGATGGAAGCTCGTTTGCTTTGA